GAGTTACAATCAAATTAGAATTTTTCAGCGGTTGCTGAAGAGTTACAATCAAATTAGAAATTATGTTATTTATTATTCTATTTAGAGTTATTGTGCATTATAGATGATAAATTCCATACAGTATTTTCTCAGTATCAGTTTCATATTGAAACTGAGACCAAATAAACTTCTCTGTAACTGAGGAAACACTTCGATATTATTTGCAAAATGACTTAATTGAGCATAATTAAATGGCTCTTGTTTAAGTAGGGAAATACGATCTTGAGCTACTGAAGTGGAAGATGACATGAGTTAATGAGTGACCTCTTCCTGGTAAGGTAATACTTCCCTTTGTAGGTTTGGAATTTTTTTTGTTTTGTTTTGTTTTTTGGTGTTGTGTTTCGGGTTTTTTTTGCAGGAGGATGTGTGTCTTTTTGTTTGTTTGGAGTTTTTAAAATATTAATTATTTATTTAAAATAGTGTGAAAATCCCTCACTTTTATTACTGAAAGACCTTTTTCTATGGAAACAAGTCTTTCTTAAAGATGAGGTTTGTGAACTGGGAACTGCTGTAACTCTATCCATGCGAGACATTTGATTTGGCCTATTGTTTGTTTAACATTTCCCAAGTAGCACAAAACCACTGAGTAGTGCAAAATCCCTTCAATTAACTGTCAAGTTATTTGTAACAGGGAATTATAAAGTACTTAAAAAGATTGTCCCTAGAAAGGATTTGAATCCTTCAATCAGTTTGTATATTTGTTTGCATTGTTATAAAGAAAAAACAGAGAAAAAATGAAATAGTGATCTCTTGTATTACATTAAAACAAAAGTTTACTTTAAAAAGTCACCAAACTGACTGATTTAAATAATTTTAGCTTGCAAATTTAATATTTTTTTTATCTGTTCGTGATGCATGTTCCATGCCCTGCCTGTTACCTCCGTACAGAATTATCAGTGCCTGTATTGCATAGGATCTGAATGTCTGTAATGTCATCTCACCATGAGAGTTGTCCAAATGGGAACTCTCAATTTTAATCTCAAGTATGAATAGATTTCTAACTAGAATTGTTTCTAAGAAACAATTGCTATCTTGAAAGTGTTATTCCAGTTGGCTGGCATATGACAAAAATAATTCTGAAGCTATTAAAACAATTAGATTACATGGATAACTATTAAGTAGTAGTTAGTTTATTTAGTCTCTGTTTTGATGTTATGAAAAGTAAGTTAATATTGTAACATGTAGCTGATTTTAATAGACTAATTTAAGCTAATAGCAAAGTATAGGGTAAATCTGGGGAAAAAAAATCAAAGGAACACAACTGTTATTTTGTTTCATTAAACATTTTATGTTTGGTTTTGTCTGAAAAGAGATGCTATTAAGTATTGAAAATACACACACACATGCCCGTGTGCTTATGTGTAAGAAGAAATGTGTATAATATAAATACATAAATATGCATATAAACTAAATATATATTTAGTTGTTGGCTAAATCTTACTCTTGAAGCCCTGAAGGACTCCCAGAGCAGGATGCTGCAAGCAGCAGCATTTCTGTTGCTGAAATACAGTCACCTCATTTAATTTGCTACCAGTGCCTCTTCTCTGTGAGCCAAGTACCAAGAAGTAAGATGCATAACATCTGTATTCCAGCAGCAAGACTCTTTGGGCAGCATCAGAATTTGGCTGTATCATGAGCTGAATCCCTCTGGGAAAAGCAGAATCAGGGCTGATTGCTTTGCTCTGGGAACTAAACCAAATCCAGGAACCTATTGTAGGCAGCACACAGTGTGAAAAGAGTACAAATTTGGTTATTCTAATCCCTTTTCCATTAGCATCCCTGCATTTTTTTATAAAAAGATGAATTTTTGCTAAAATCAATTTTGGGTTTTTGGTTTTTTTTTACAGTTATGTTTTTGTGGGAGAGACAGCTTAATAAATTCTATCATTATAGAATGGTGTTGATGATGGATTTACCATTTTTATAAGATGAATTTTGTAAGCCCTTGCATTTTGGTAGGAGATAGTGTGCTAACGTCTGTTGTCAAAACTACTGACTAATAAGGAAATCCATATTCCCCTATTTTTAGCAGAAAGGAGTGCAGTAGTGTATGTCGGGTGTACTGGGGCACTACAAATGAGGTAGGAGTGATGTAATACAAGGAACCTTTAGATCCTTACTTTATGGTATATGAAAGTGAAAGATCTTCCCATTCTCTTCCATTCAGAGAATATGGGGAAGTTGCTCTGGTTGAAAATCCAAAATAGCCTTAGGACAACTCTGTTAAAGCTTTCTGACTTGAAGCAGGCAATTTTTGATGAAGAAGCTTTCAATATTTCGGTTTACTTTTGCCCATAGTTTGACTTATCATCCCAAGAAAATGTTGAGGAAACTTGCTAAAAAATGGCTGTGGAGAAGGTGCAACTAGATGTAGAGAGCTGTCAGTAAAGTACATTACAAAAGTTATGACTCATTTGAAAAGCAATGGTATACTGAAAACATTTCATAATGGTTTTGAGACCTTCTCTAGCCTGTTGCTAAGTCTTTAATGTAATCTGAATGCTTGTGGGAAACAAGTTTAAGATCTCTTTGATTTTTAGTTCTGCTGTTTCAGTTCTTTGGAAATTATAGTTCCTGGTTTGGGGAATAGAAATAGACCTAATAAAATTCCTCTAATTAATTACAAGTTTTACACAGTTCTTCTGACACAGTACCTCATATTCAGGAAGCCAAATCTAGATCTTACGCCTTGATCTGTGTACCACAACATCTCGCATCAGGACAGAAATGGTCTTTAAAATTTGCTTGCCAGGGTCTGTTTTATTCCAGATCAATCCTATCTCAGGACTGGGGAACTGAGCTCAGGAATGAGGGAATGAGGTCAGGACTATGCTTTCAGTAGCTCTACCAGCTCTAAATGCTGATATCAGCAAGGTTGTAATTCCACAAGTAAAAGTCTTTGCAGGTACTAGAATCCTTGCATTCAAATTTCACTGCAGGATTGTGAAGGGTTACCTGTCTTTCTCCCTTCTGTTCTTATAGAAAAGCCTGACTAATCATTTATAAGGGGGGGAGGAATGTGTTTGGAAACCATGTTAACTCCTGATTGCCAGCAGAAAACTGCCCAAAACAATCTTACCCAATTAAGAGCAAGCTCTGCAAAGTACTGAAATTTAGTAAAATTTTCCAGATTTACTTTGGAAGTGTGTTTCTATTTTTACCCTTCTTGAAGGCTTGAAGTGGAAGAACTTTTTCATTTGTGATGATGCTTAGAATGCTTTTCTAAATTGATTTTAAAGATACTTTTAATGAGAATTGGAAACACTTTCTGAGAGGAAATGGCTCTTATGTCAGAGAATGTGCCTGTCTTGGTGGGAAGATCTGATAGTTTGTCAGTGTATTTAGTCTGTCCAAGTTCATGGCAGACTATTCTGCCTGCTTTGCAAACCTGTTTACTTCTTGACACTTCAGAAAGCCTGAGAGAGATTAAGTGTTTATAATACTTACCTCACTAAAGAGGGAGCAAAACAAGTGGTTGAAGTATATGATAATCTAATGACTACATTTTATTTCTTTTATACATAACTAAAACTGTGACTTTTATTTTTCCTTCCCACCTTGTTCTGTGTCATAAATCTAAAGATTAAATTTTTGTACTAATGGAAAACAATTTGTATTAACAGATTATCAGAAAAATCTTTGAGGCACTGACTTCCATTGTGGCTAGATAATGGGTTTGTTCTGCAGCAGACATATTTCTCAACACCAATCTGGCAAATCAGGCCTTATGTTCTGGGTGTTTGAAATCTGTGATAATTGGTCACAGATACAGAAACTCAGCACTTGAATGGTTGGAGGAACCAGGAAATTATGAGTGGTCTTAAAAGTAGTTTGTTCTTATTACTTCCCTTGTAGAAGAAGATCATTGTAAACTCATTGGGTGGTTTGTCCTCCAACCCCCATGTACAGTATTTATTTAGAAATTTGTTCCTGGAGGTTCCTGACATCTTTTGCTCCAGTGTGGAGGTGACTTACAGATGTTCCAAAAGCTTCTTCTGACAGAAATTAAAAGTTGTGTATCCTTTTGAAAACTAGCATGTGAAAGTGTCTGTGTCCCATGTCTTTGTTCTTTTGATTTTTATATATAAACCATATTTATAAATAAATCAGGTCACTGGAATCCTTTAGTGTGACATAAACTCAGCTTTCAAGTCTCACTGAATTTTTTTGGCTTCTTTCTGAGAGTATATGGAAAACCTACATTGAAAATTGATGTTCTCAGTTAACAACAGGTATGTCGTGGTGGAATATGCAGCTTTTTAGCTACGTTACAGGCCCAGTTTACAGAAATAATTTTAACTACTCGAGGCATAATAGCATTGTACTGCTGATTGATTGGTATGAGAGCATGTAAAGGAAGTGCTGAGATCCTGCATTGAAACTTTCATGGCTTATTCTTCCTTTCTAGACCTATTTTCTTACCCTTTGTTTTTCTGGAACGATTATGCTGATATCTTTGCCATTTGGGGAAAATTTATTCAACTTCTTTATGATGTTTGGTAGCACACTGTGGGTTTAAATGACATTTTTTTCTGAGAGTCTTTGGGGGTCTCAAGGTCAGCATCCTGATGTTTAAGGCTAAGCAAGTATTTTAATAGATCCAGTAAGACGTGTGGTGGCTAACTGTTGTGTGTTTGTCTACAAATTAAATAAATGCAACTGAATGAGAGCTAAACCAACATTATTCCAGTTCTGGCAAATGATAGTACTAAATGGTGAGGTTCTTATGCTCCAGGAGTGAGATAGCTGGGCATCTGTTTGGCTTGATGAAACTTAGATGCCGTAGTCCTGCGTAAGGTCTGTACCTTCTGCAAGAAAGGGACATGTGATCTGCCTTTTGTTAGGAGACATGCATATTCTACCTCTCCCAATAAAAATAACGTTTTATTACATGAAAAACTTTTGCAATTCTGAATTTTGTCCTGCCTTGAGTATAAATGTCACCAACTTTTTTTCTTGACAGGTTATTTGGAAAGGGAGTTCTTTGCTGAACAGAACAGCACAAGATGACTTAAGATTCCTGCTCTTCATGGGAGCCTGTCTGGATTGGTATGCTTGCTTTTTTTAATTTGTCAAGCTGACATGTAGTGATTGCATATATAATGCAAAGGTCCACTTAAAATTTAGAAAGCCAAGCGTTTAGGAAGCTTCCAACTTGTTAGTTGTATGTTAATAACTAGGCAGAGACTGTTCATTAAAAGAGTATGTTTTCAATAGTATTTTCAATGTTTACTGTTCTCCTAGGTACTACAGTATTCAGTTAGCTCTTCAACATGAATGTGGTTTATACGACCATTGAACTAGTGGGGAAGTTAAAGTCAGGGGGAGTATTGTGACAGTACTAGAAATGAACCTAGAACTGTGTAATGTAAGTCCATTTACATGACCTACAGATTGAGAACATGATTTTTCCCAAGAGCTAAGAAAATAGAATTGTTCTTTCCATTTTGTATATTTGTGGTTTAGAATAATAATAATAATTCCTGTGGCTGACATTTCTTGACAGTTAATGGCTCTCTGAATTAAGGACAGAAAGAAATATCCTCAAGAGGTCAATTAGTGGTACTTAATGACCCAAAGCAGAGGTGGCTGTTTCCCACGATATTTTCCAATGAAAATTGCCACAGTAGTGTTTATAGAGTGGAAAAAAGGAAAATTTCCTAAATTAAACTAATGCCTCTTGTGAATAGTTTTATAGGTCATCTACTCATGCAGTGTAGTTGATTAGTTTCAATTTAGGATATGTAAATAGGTATTAAAACTGAAAGCTGCTAGTTCCTTTTAGGTGGAACAGTTAGGTGAGTAACATTGCCCCTGCTGATTTGTGTTCTGACTCATTCTTTTCACTGGCTTTAGCAGAAAGGATTCCATTGCTATATGTTCCTGCCTCTGCTTAATGGCATAGGAAACAATGCTTGATTTTTGTTGAGAGGGGAGTATGTCTTGGGCTACTTTGTACAATAATGGGGTGTCAGAGAGCACATACTTGAGTATTTTCTATTAACACACAAATTTTTTTTGAAAATAAAGTAAGTCCTTGGCTTCAGGTTTGTTGTTCACTTTATCCTTTTTCCCCTAAGAATATTTTGCCTTTTCAATGTTTTTTGTGTTGCAAAAATTGTTTTTGTCAAAGTTTGCCTTGAAAATAAAACCATTGATAGTAGCTATAAAGTGTGCAGAAGCTTCCCATTTGTGAGCACTTCAAACATTCCCAAGAAATAGGATCAATGTACTAGGCATTGCTAGTTTCTGAATCAGAATGATTTCTGTGTGCTGGATCAAATTCTGGTGCTGAGCGGTACTGAAAATATGCTTTCTTTTTAACAGATAAATTTAATAACTCCTTGAACATTTTGGCAGCTGTTCATAGTGTGTTCTGATCTGCATTAAACATAACTGTTGTTATGGCACTGTTATGTTCCTTGTTTTGTCTATGTTGGAGTTACTGGTTTTGACTGATGTTGGCTTTGCATATAAGATATAATCTTTTATTTCTGGTTGAGCGTGCTATCCAAATTTTGAATGGAAACCTTTTAGCTTCAAAAGCTGTTAAAAACAGACACCATAGTTTTAGCAATAATTATATTTGATGAATGAAATTTGTGTGTTATTTAGCTTTAAGTGTGTACTTCATTGAAATAATTGTGTCTATTATGTTCCATAAAAAGAAAGTTGCATATGAGTGAGAACCTTGCTTGAGAGAAAATGTGCATACCCAGTAATTTTCAGCACTGAAATGGAAAAAAAGTGATTGTGTGAAGCTTTTTTGCATCTGAAAAGAATCAGTGAGAGTACATGTTCCAAAAGTGTGAATGCTGTGACAAAAAGGTATCTGCCTCTTGCTTGAGTACTTTGACCATCAATAAGCTTACCTATTTAAACTATCAAAGCATGGTTGTCTTTTACAAGCTATGTGATTACCATTCAGCAATGGCTCTGGCTTTGAAATTACAGGATCTGTCTTTCTCAAAGAGCAAATGAGGACTGAAATGAAATTGCTGTGAAGTTATCTTATTGGTCCCTTTTTTTCAGCTTATGTTTCTATCCTTACATAATTTTGGGGAAATTGGAAGGGTAGGAAGAAGGATGAAGGCACATGTCTAATAATCATGTGGATAGTCATGGTAGAAGCCATTTAAGTAGGAGGGTAAAAAAAATAAGGAAAAATTTATATAGGACTGCTACAGAAGGGATCCTCTTCAATTTATTGGTTGAATTGCCAACCACTTTCTGAAGCATGATAACCAAAAAAGAGTGTAACTAAGTTGCCTGCAGGTTAGATAACTGTAACTCCAAAACACATTCGAGCACACAGATTCAGTATGGGGTGCATGGAAAGATTTCACACCTCAGAGTGATAAACAGTGTACAGAGAAAGGTGCTGCCTGGAAACCATCAGGAAGCAGTGAACACAGGAGCAACACTCAAGAGGTTGGGTTTTTTTCTACCTGGAATCCCAAGACTGCAGTCCTCTATTAGGTTAGTTGTCTTCTTTGCAAGAGCTCATCAGTCCTCACTCTTTCATCCTTCTTGAAAAGAAGATAATGGCTGATGAATTATGCAACAGCCAAATGGCTAACGCTTGCTTCCCACTTCAAGCACTTGGCTAGGTCCAGGCAGCAGATTGTATGAGGTCATCCTCCTCCTCTTAACACTGTACAGAAGAGCATACAAGCTTCATACTGTGGGGAGAAAGCACAAAACAGGAGGTAGCTATTTGCTTAGAAAGCTGGAATGGTGATAAAGCATACATGAGATTATTTTTCTTATCACTTTTTCTGGGTTTGTGAGGAAAAGTCTGTAGACAGCTCTGATCCTTTGTCCTTTGCTATATACTGGGATGCTACTGGCTTGAGAAATGCAGGGTAGCACAATCTCATTTACTAAACCAAGGGTGCAGAACATTTTGCTTCTACTCCCCTTGTCTGGTTCCTTCTGTTTAGAAGGACAATTTGTGATAAAGCAATATTTTCCAAAAAATTGATTCTTTACCTTGGAACGTTTTCAGGCTTGGTTTTCTTTTGTTTGTTTGTTTTTCTTTAGAGCTTTTATGATACATGTTATCGTCTAAAGCTCTGCTGAACTTCAAACTTCAGAGTGTAAAGTTGTGTGGCATAAATGTGTTTAAAGAGCTGTAAACTTAAGCTAAGTGAGCAAATTCTGTTGTATATATTTAAAGTTAGTCAAGGAACTGCATGTATGTGCTCAAAATGTCTGTATTCAAATCAAACGGCCATGTACCCTTTGCAGTCTGCAGAGGGAGATAGGCGCTTCCTGAAGGTGATTCACCTCTTCCTGACATAGACATCTATATAAAGATCCTGTGAAATATGTCCTAAATTGCCTTCTACATCCACAGAAGCTCTGTGACATCCACAGCATCCCGTGGCAAGTATTTTCGTAATTAATTGTGAACTAATAATTTCCAGTTCTGGGCTCCTCAGTTCAAGAGACATGGACATACTGGAGAGAGAGTCTAGTGGAGGGCTACAAAGATAATGAAGAGACTGGAGTATCTCTCCTGTGAGGAAAGGCTGAGCAAGCTGGGACTGCTTAGCCTGGAGTGGAGAAGGCTCGAGGGGATCTTATGAATATATATAAATACCTGTAGGGAGAGTGCAAAGAGGACAGAGCCAGGCTCTTTTCAGTGGTGCCCCATGACAGGATCAGAGGCAATGCTCACAAACTGAAACACAGGAGTTTCCTCCTGAACGTCAGGAAACACTTCTTCCCACTGTGAGGGTGACCAAGCACGGGCACAGATTGTCCAGAGAGGTTGTGGAGTCTCTGTCCTTAGAGATACTCAAAAGCTGTCTGAACATGGTCCTGGGCAACTGACTCTAGGTGGCCCTGCCTGAGCACAGGGGGTGGCCAATGACCTCTAGAGGTCCCTTCCAACCTCAATGATTCTGGGATTTTGTGATTCCTTTGGCTTTTCCTATTCTTACATTATGAGAGACAGCAATCATTCACTTCCCTGTGCCACTAATAATTCTGTAGACCTCTATGATACCTTTTGTCGGTCACTTTTGAATAGAAATCAGGTGAAGCAGACCTGAACATAGTACTGAAGAGGTGCCATGGATATGTATTGTAGCATGTAGGGTGTATAAATACATAGTGTATGTAGATAGGTTCTGCTTTTCTTCTTGGTTTCTTTGCTAACAATTCTGAACACTTGGCTGATGTTTTCATAGAACAGACTGTTAAACCTGAAGATCTGTTTTTCTTCTGAATGGTAATCAGTGGTTTAACATTTGTTACTGTGCAGATAACTTTTTTCCTATACAGGCATAGCTTTACCTCTAGCAACACTGAATTTTATCAGGAAGTCTATTAGCTTGTCATTAACTGTCATGAGATCCCTCTCTACCTCTTTATAGTTGACATTTGTTTTTATTAAAGTGCTCTGAAAAACAGTTCACGTTCATCAGCAGCAAATGTTGTGGTTTCACATTTTCTTCTTCTCCCATACAGGTTGAAGAGCTTGAATCCCAGTATAGATTTTCTTTGTAGGATCATTCTGGTGACCTGTCTTCACTGCAAAACTAACTGCTCCTTTTTTATTTCCTATTTTAAACTGATTATTGTCTGTGAGAGGGCTTTACACTTATCTAATGACAGATTAGTTTCTTTTAGAGCCTCGTTGGAGCCACCTTGTCAAAAACAATCAAGAATGCAAAAGTTACCTTTGCTGGCTTATTGCTAACAGAACTCTAAAAGATACTGCCCTGGGGATCTAATTTTCTGTATGCCATGATTTTAAACCCAGAATTATTTGTTGAAGTTATTCTCTTTTGCAGTCCCTGCAGAATGCTGCAGCTTCCTTCCCTCTTCAGTGTTCTTGGCTTGTGGAGTCATAAACCTCAGTGGAACTTCGGGTGAGATTTTCAAGTTCATTCCTAAAATCTATGTTTGTTTATCCTGGAAAGCTGTGTTAACTTTTCTGCTGTTGTTTACAGATTTTATTCTAACAAATATGTTACAGAAGACTAGTAATGGAAAGGTTTATAAAGACCAAAGAAAGAATTATGGCTGCTATATCTGCTTTAGCCTGTAATTAACATTGAGGCTTTCTCTAGAAGAGTTACTGTAAAATAAAAATGGAAGGGAGAGAATGGAGAGAAAAGGAAAACCTAGAATAGAATTAACAGAATTTGGCAGTTTTGCAAAATGTCAATGTATATAGCTTAGTATACTCTTGCTGAGTTTAGCAGTCTTTGAAACATAATAGGATAAATTAAAAAATTATAATATTCCCTCCCATTCAAGCAGAAGGACCTCTAGAAACTGGAATTTGAGTTTGCATGGGAAGATTATGGTAGTGGCCGTGCTACAGGGGTGGCTTCTGTGAAAAGCTTCTAGAAACTTCTTCTCTGTCCGATGGAGTCAATGCCAGCTAGCTCCAAGACAGACCCGCTGCTGGCCAAGACTGAGACCATCAGCAATGGTGGTAGCGCCACTGTGAGAACATATTTAAGAAGGGGGAGAAAAAACTCTGCAGCTGCTTATGGAGAAAGGAGTGAGAATAAGTGAGAGGAAGCAGCCCTGCGGATACCAAGGTCAGTGCAGAAGGAGGGGAGGAGATGCTCCAGGCACCAGAGCAGAGATTCCCTGCAGCCGGTGCTAAAGCCCCTGGTGAGGCAGCCGTGCCCCTGTAGCCCATGGAAGTTATCAATGGAGCAGAGACCCACCTGCAGCCTGGGGAGGACCCACGCCAGAGCAGGGGGATGCCCCTGAAGGAGGCTGTGACCCCATGGGAAGCCCACACTGGTGCAGGCTCCTGGCAGGACCTGGACCCGTGGAGAGGAGCCCACACTGGAGCAGGTTTGCTGGAAGGAGTTGTGACCCCGTGGGGGACCCACGCTGGAGCAGCCTGTTCCTGAAGGGCTGCACCCCATGGAAGGGACCCACGCTGGAGCAGTTCGAGAAGAGCTGCAGCCCGAGGGAAGGACCCACGTTGGAGAAGTTCATGGCGGACTGTCTCCTGTGGGAGGGACCCCACGCTGGAGCAGGAGAAGAGTGTGAGGAGTCCTCCCCCTGAGGAAGAGGGAGCAGCAGAAACAATGTGTGATGAACTGACCACAACCCCCATTCCCCAACCCCCTGCACTGCTGACAGGGAGGAGGTAGAGAAACTGGGAATGAAGATGAACCCAGGAAGAGGGGAGCGGTGGGGGGAAGGTGTTCTAAGACTTTTTATTTTCTCATTATCCTACTCTGATTCGATTGGTAATAAATTAATTTTTCCCCAAGTTCCTCTTTTGCCTGTGACTGTAATTGCTGAGTCATCTCCCTGTCCCTCTCTCTGTCCACAAGCCCTTTTGTTATATTTTCTCTCCCCTGTTCAGCTGAGGAGGGGAATGATAGATTGGCTTTGGTGGGCACCTGGTGTCCAGCCAGGGTCAACCTACCACAGACTCAATGAAATTAGGTTGTTTATGATAATATGCCTTCATGATACCACTGAAAATTAAAGGAGATAGGTTACTCTTTTGTCTTAGAAAATATGCTGAAGGCAGTCTGGCCCTGGAAATCATCTAGCAGTATTGAGCTTGCAGATAGGAAGGGAGTAGCTTTGCTGTGGAATGGGAGGAGCAGGTCATAGTGCTGCTGTTCCATGCTGAATCCTTGGCAGCAGCCTGAGCAGGCTTACATTCAGATCGCTAGAAGTCCAAACTGGTCACATAGGTTAGACTTTGTTATTTTGCAGTTCCTTTGTTGGTGAGGTATTGTCCAGGGAAGAATAAACTTCTGATCTTCCATGAAGTATGTGGTTCTTGTGTAAATTCATAAAAGTATTCCTTCCTCCCTTCACTTTTGCCCAATGTTAATACCAAACAGAACCTGCATAAATCCTGTGGGCAGGATTTGTGTTACCAAACATAGGCTTCTTGAGTTAGTTGCACAAGCTTGTCACCATGTGCAGAGATAGAGGATGAGATAGATTACCCTCTGAAGATGCTTATATCCCTCTTCTGACTAAAAACATGAAAACAGCCTGAAGTGACTGTTACAGTCATCCAGAATGAATGAGGTGAATCCCACTTTTGTTTCTCGTGGTGATCTGTTTTTTAAAAGGCCATAGAATCCTTCTGGTTTCGAGCTTGATCAGATGCCAGAGTACTCTGTGAGCATTTAGTTTAATAGTCCAGGATGGAGGGGAAGAGCTAGCACTGGAAAGGGGAGACAACTCTCAACTCCTTTGCATTTTATTTGTAAGAACAGTACGTAGTAATACAATACATGTAATAATACTACAACAAGACAGTACATGTAAACTCTAAAAGGAAACGTTGCATTGTATCATCATAGCAATGAGGCCACCCTTCAGGCCACTCAGAGTTCAGCAGAGTGGTCTCAGGATTAGATTTACAAGAAGAAAGAGGATGCATGCAGGATCTTGGGATACCAAGATGAATTAACAAAGACATGTCTTAGACCAGTGAAAGCAGGAAAGCTTGCTGCAGGGGGAAGGGTTGTAGGACTCATGAAGTTACTTTCCTGCAACTTGATACGAGTCAGTCATTAAAGGAAACAAATTGAGAAATACCTTAATTCTGTGGACAAATTATTTAATAATTGATAACAGGTTAGGATATTCTTCATGTTTTTCCTGAGGCATCTGCTCTGGCTTACATGGAACCAAGGATTCTGTATCATGTAGCATAGCTCAGATAGGTAGGCTTTTCAGTGCTTACCAGCCAGGCAGGTAAACGATACTGATACTACTTAAGCTATTTGGAAATGTTAGTAAAGTTTCTAACTGTAGGCAATTTCAGAACAAAGTCATGAAGTTAGTTTAAAAGTTATGTAACTAAAATTATGTCATCAGTAAAGTTTGTTTTCATTTTTTTAAAAAAAAAAAAAAAAAAAAAAAAAAAAAAGCAAGCTTGGTGAGTGACAGTTGTACAGTATCAACAAGGCTACAGAGCAGGATGTATAAGAAAAAGACTAAATATTATGAGACTCCTGTGACTGGTGCTTAAGTAAATTGTGTCCCTCTAAAGTGCAAATATGTATTAAGGATCCTTTTGTCATTAAGTAAAGCAGAGCTGTCGTTTGGTTCCCATTGGTTTTGAGAGTCTTACTTTGTTTCTTTAAATTTCTTCTTTTTCAGGTGGAAATACTGACGTGAATTTAAGAACTTTGATGCTTTCAGACGTTGAATTTTGATTTGTTAAATGACCAGGAATAAGATACTGCCTGAACAAGATGAAATGCCTTGAAGACCTTTGGTTCTGCTTTCGTTTCTCCTGAAGCAATGGTTTTCTCAGCAATGTTGACGCTGGCCCACTCTGGGACCTCAAACACTACTTTTATTGTTTATGAAAATGCCTATACGAATTTTACCACTCCCCAGTTCTTGCTTCATAGTGGCACAACACAGCCATTGAGATATAGTTCAGGTGCCGTGCTCACCACTGAGAGAAGTACTTTTCTGGTAAACGCTACGGCTATCCTGCCACTGCAAGAAGTTTTCAGGAGCTTGAGTTTGCCACTCCAGATCATTCTTTCTGCTGCTATGATATTTATCCTATTGGTTTCTTTCCTTGGAAACTTTGTTGTCTGCCTCATGGTCTACCAGAAGGCAGCTATGCGATCTGCAATTAACATCCTCTTAGCAAGCCTGGCTTTTGCAGACATGCTGCTGGCAGTGCTGAACATGCCTTTTGCTCTGATAACAATCATTACCACTCAGTGGATTTTTGGGGATATATTCTGCAGAGTCTCTGCCATGTTCTTCTGGCTCTTTGCCATAGAGGGGGTAGCCATTCTTCTTATTATTAGTATTGACCGATTTCTTATCATAGTTCAGAGGCAAGATAAACTGAACCCTTATCGTGCAAAGATTCTCATTGCGATTTCCTGGGCGGCATCCTTTGTTGTTGCTTTTCCGTTATCGGTAGGGAATCCTAATCTGCAGATACCCTCAAGAGCACCTCAGTGTGTTTTTGGCTACTCTACAAGCCCAGGTTACCAAGCCTATGTGATAGTTATCTTGCTAATATCTTTTTTTATTCCATTCCTGGTAATGCTGTATTCTTTTATGGGCATACTCAACACCGTCCGCCACAATGCAGTTCGTATCCATAGCCACCCTGATAGCATATGTCTCAGCCAGGCCAGCAAACTTGGTCTCATGAGCTTACAGAGACCTTTTCAGATGAATATTGATATGAGCTTTAAAACTCGTGCCTTCACAACCATCTTGATTTTGTTCCTTGTCTTCATAGTCTGTTGGGCACCCTTCACCACTTACAGCCTTATTGCCACATTCAACAGCCACTTCTACTACAAGCACAACTTTTTTGAGATAAGCACTTGGCTCCTTTGGCTCTGCTACCTCAAGTCTGCACTGAACCCACTGATTTACTACTGGAGGATTAAGAAATTTCATGATGCATGCTTGGACTTGATGCCCAAATATTTCAAGTTTTTGCCACAGCTACCTGGCCACACAAGGCGGCGCATTCGACCCAGTGCCATCTATGTGTGTGGGGAGCATCGGTCAGTAGTGTGAAGCTGCGGTTGTCTGACAATGATTGTTATTTTCTGGGATCATTTGTTTTTAGGCTTTAGGTTGAATTTTGTTTTGTTTAGTATGGTTTCTTCAGTGTGGCCATATTTTATAACTTGATTCAATTTTCCAGTACTCTGTGCAATTTTGGGAAGAAAGATAAGAAGGAGGGAAAGCGACTGGTTATAGTTGGGTTTACTACCAGAATACAATGTAAACAAAATAACAAATGTTACCTCTAGGATTCCATGGAAATCCATTCTTTTAAATGAAAACTACATTTGTAACATTTTATCGGGTTTATGCTTAATAGGCCTGCAATTGCATCTAATTGTAGGGACTTTTTATGCTGCTAAGATACAGTATATTTAGGTGGTGTAATTTTTCTGAAAAATGTTGCTGCTGTCTGCCAATATATTAGAGCCAAAAAGTCTTGTTAGATTATTTAATTTTAACGGAATATTTCGGAAGTTTTCATGGTGACACTAGAAAACTTTTTTATTTTTTTAAATATTTCCATTAATATTTTTGTGCACTTTACAACATTTGCTATAAAATTTGTTCATTGGAATATTTTGTTCTGTATTGAAGGGATATTATTATTATTATTATTATTATTATTATTATTATTATTATTATTTTTATTTTTATGTTATGTTGTTGAATTTCAATGAAAGACCCATGTAAGCTCTAGGAGGGCGATTTATGTTGGTATAGCTACGTGTACAGTCATTGATTTGCTCTTTTCTAACAATTGATCAAAAGTAACATTAACTGCTTAGTTACCAGGGGGGCTGGAAGGAGAAAATGGAGAAATGAAAGGGAAAGAAAACATTGAAAATACCATATCCTGAGGTTTAGGCAAACACAAGATTTAGAAAAATATAGTTCATGTGAAAATTGTCATGGAGGAGAGGGTGGCTGTAGTTGTTAACTCTGGGCTTTTACAAGCTATCCAAACCTGATGGTATTCCTGAAAACCTATCTGAAATTGTGACTTTGGACGTACAATTTACACTGTGTTGGCATAATGCTGTTTCTGTTTGGAGCTCGTACAAAGCTAGGTGCACTCTACACTGCTGAAATCATGCTGTCAGGCATTCATTGCAATAGAACTAGTTTCGTAGGATAAACCAGCAAACAAATAGCACATGAATCATAGCTGAGTCTAGAACTTAGTCTACATAGTAATGACTGGGAAAAAAATCCTCAACTTGCTTCTCTCCCAGTTTAAGACCACAACCATAAACTGATAATAATGAACAACAGTTGGCCAGCAGAGTTTGCTGGGAATGTAAGTTAAATTGCCCATTTCCTCCGATACTGCTTTTATGTTGAGATTTTTTTTTTTTTGTTGCCCCTCTTTCTCTGTAGTGCCTCCTGCCTCAAGGGCTTACTCTGCTGTTCTCATCTATTAGGCATCAGCTTCTCTCCCTGAAATGCCAAACCATGTTTCTGATTAATGTCAGGATGTCTTGGTACCTGCCTGGGAAGCAGAAAGGTGAAGGTTTTCATTGATGATAGCAATCCAGACTCACATATTTTATTTATTTTAATCAGCTAAATAAATATTTAATGTGAGGGAAGTAAAATTAAGACTTAAGTTTGGGCTTTGAAATGTCTCTGGGGAAGAATGCTCACAGAATTTGTGCGCCCTCACAGTGGGCTTTTTGGGGCTGATTGTGACCGAGTACAGGAAGATTAATGTACAACAAACACCAATCAGGACTAGGGTTTAGGCTTCTCTTGTTTCCATTTCTCTTTCAGTACCCCAGAGCATGGGGACCTCTACATTGTTCTTGTATCCAAAGAGCAAATAATAACAGTTTGATCTATTTTTATCTATCCACACAGAACAGGGCATTTCCTTCATACACATAGACATTTCCAGGGACTGCTTGCTTCCTGAGGCCAACTGAACATTTACACCCGAGATTTGATTTAGGTCTTCAGTGAAGAACTAATTTAAGTTATCTCTGTTCTCCTCATTGACAACTATTGGTAAAAGTGTTGGCAATATTTAAATTTTAGGAGTATAAAAGGAACAGTTTCTACTTTAGTAATTTAATTTTTTTAAAAGGCTGCTAGCTGAGCTTGTGGGTTATGTGTAAAGGCACCCAGACAGTGGCAATGTTACTGACGTCAACTTCACCGATGACAGCATGGATTTTTTTGATCAAAATGACAGGCCGTAAAGGAGTTCCACTGTAAAACAGTGGTTTAACATGTCTTTCCAGTATAGCTTTTATTTCTCAATTACATTTACAATGATAGTGAAAGTTTATGACCTGTTAGTATGGATTTTCTGTTTCAGAGCTGTCATGCCTGTTTATCTCTGAAAGCAGCAAAGTTGTGTTTAGAGCTAATGTAATAGAGCGAGAGCGTATACTGTCTAAGATGGCAGGAACAGGTATTTTTTCTGTCTTGCAGAGCTGTAATGTAAGAGGTTTGAATGAATGTCATAAAACATGGTAATTCAAGAAGGAAAGAAGATGAGTAATACAGGGAAGTGAGTGAAATTACTTTCTTGAAGGAAGAGGGGAAAACATTTTGTGGGGATTTCATAATCTCCAATAAGTACTGGCTGTGAAGTAGAAATTGCAAACATCAAATTAAGTTAATTTGTCTTGATAATTTAGTGTTTGTTTACATTGACTGTAACAGGGTTTCTGCTTAGAGCTGCCTCTGCTGATACTCGGAGAAAAGAAACCCAAAATATGTGGCCCAAATTCAGAGGTGACTTATGTGTTGATACAGCTGGGTTTTAGAATTGATCAGAGCATACAATGAACAAAAGGCTGTTCAAAAAAAGACACAAGGTGGCACAGAAGTATCCCCAGGGTAATTATGTGTTTACAGAACCATTTGGGCTATTATGTCTAATATACTGTCTTTAGAGCAGTGCCTTGATAATTACAGCCGAAGTCCTAGAACCAAGTTGAAGACCACTGAACTGCTCAGTCTTGCTGTCTGTGATCCTACCAACATCAGTATAACCTTGCTAACATTTGTAATGTTAAAGCACACGTGTTGGCAGGGTTGGGTCTACTGAGGCATTTTAGTGGGCTTGACCTTGAACAAGACCAAGGATTTTAAAACCTGAAATTGATCCTTCTTGATTCTACTGGGGAATTATATTTTTTTTCCTCTCCAGAAATGATATGTGTTAATAAACTGTATTCCCTCATGTTACATTTTCAGAAATCTTTGGTATGGAGGGTTGAAATGAATGTATTTTGAATTATGTTGCAGTTTAATTCATTCTGTCATAGCATGCTGCTTACACAAGTCTCATTTGTACAAATCTATTGCTAGAATGATTCTTTTGTACTCAAAAGTTGTGCATTTTTGACATTTCTTGTTTCTCATGTAAAAATATTTATGTATATAGAGAAGAAAATTGTTTTGCCTCTTATTGCTTTCTGTTACTATTTTTTTCACTTATATGCTTAATGCCTTCATATTTTCTTTTGTTTGGGCATATGGATAAACAACTGCAAGATTTCGTTGGTGTTTCTGCAGCTGTTTGAGATTTTTAATTCTCAGATCACTCAGTAATGCCCTCCTTGAAAGAGATCTTGATTTATTTTTGTGTGAAAAATAAAAATTCAGAGCACAAGCTTGTTGCTGTTGGAATGGTGAGGAATTTCTTAAGTCCAATTTTCCAGGAGCCACTACTTTGCCATTAGGAACTGGTTTGATCTTTTTTTGAGAAGTCATTTTCTGATGTGGAGAAACCTTGAATTACTGTTTTAAAACAAGCTGTTAAGTAGAATGGCATTGTCTTTTCTGTACATACTACACCTGTGAAAATACCTGAAAAACAAAAAACATTTAAAAAAAAGAAAAATAAATATGAACATTCTCCAAAAATGTAGCAGAAGTCTATAGACTTGCTCTATCTTCGTGTGTTCACAGGTTCATAGTTCATAGGTTCAACTTCATAGTTTCAAACACTTTATCTGTATGTTAAATAACAAAGATTGTTTGCCTAATTCAGATGGTTTTGTTTAAGCCAAAATGTTTCTTGTGGAAAGAATTTACAGAACGCTCTTTTCTGAGACATTGGGTAGAAATGTGTTGATATATATAAAACAAATTAAATAATATCCAGCAAAAAGGAAAGCAAGCCTAAAAAGAAAATAACTTTCCTAAAAATACTACCTGAAATGGGTGCACTACATTTTAGCTAGGACTGAGTAATTAAGATCATCTTATTGTGTGATAAATAGAACAGGCAGTGGCACTGTATGGCATGATTCATTTTAGCACAAGACAGTGACCTTTATGATTCAAGTGCTGCATGTTTGTATGGGATGTATGTGATTCCTCATTTTAGTAGAAAGAAAAATGTTCAGCATCTTGGCTGTTTGGGGAAATTTTTTGTTTTGATAATGATTTAGCAGAACTTCTGCTGGAATAATTTCTCTAAATGATAGAGCCACTACATGTCCCTAAAGAATGCCTGAGAGGGGATGTGTATTTCCAGTTGTTTGCGAATGGCCTTGCTTAGCTGCCCACATGCCTAATTTTGAGAATCCTTCCCTGTACCTCTTCAGCAACCAATTTTTCCTCACTTCTCTCCTGGTCCCCTCCACCTCCCTGAGGTAGCGCCTTCTGCACTGTTGTGTTGCAGCAGGTACAGTGGTGGCAGGAGACACTGGTGCTGGTGGCAGGAGGAGGTGGAGGTGCCTGGAGAAGCTGTGGAGCCAGCAAGCCTCTTTCACCTAGTGCCACTCCTTCCCATCTTGAGTACAGTTTGGAACATCTGTGATGGGATGAGGGTGAGTTTTACCACCTTTGGTTGTAAGAGTAAGGCTGTCAGGGAAGAGCTGTTAACAGGAGCACGTATATTTGACTTCACTGCTAGTGCAGGGTTCTGTTTTATTCCCCAGTAGTGTTACAGGTTTTATTCCACCTCGTCTTTCAGCAACTGAGCTACAACAGTCTATAACTAATTTGTGGCTGAATAAGAATCCCTAATCTGACTTGTGTCTCTGTGAGTGCGCTGGGCATGGGACCTGCCAGTGAGCATCCGCCAGGACAAAAGTTCCTACAGCTTGCTCTCAAACAAAAATGGCACCCATGGAGACAAAGCACAACTCTGCTTGGATATGGGGGGGAAAAGTCCGTGACTGTACTGCATGGTGGAGGAAAATGTGAGTTGTAATGAGTAATGATTCTTATATGCCCCTTACAGAGCTGGTGTTTGTTTTTAAAATGGAGTTATGGCTACAGAATATTGAGTTGTGTTGTTCTGCTTTATTGTGTGACAGTTAGTGAATGCAGCTTGATATCAAATTGCTAACAGAACCGCAGGTAAGTGACATAGTATTCATAAATATCAAAGTAGAACTTGTTTCAGTTTTATTTATTTTATTATCCTGTCCAGATAACCAGCTTTGCTAGTGAGTGGGTGCAGAACATAGCAATAATGAGACATACTCCTTGTTTAATTGGTGATCTGCCTTAAATAGATTACTGCAATTCAGACCTCTGTGGTTGACCTGAAATAAAATTAAACCTGTTCCCAAACATGAGTAGGAATTACACTAACACTGCCCTCCCTGTCTGTTGAAGATCTGTTCCTCCAAGAGGCAGTTAATCTGATCTCCAGAGGGGATGTAATCACAGCTGTAATGAATGTAACGGTGTCTCCTTTTGATTTACCAAGCCTAGCCTCTGTGTCAGAGACAGAATGGAGATTTTGGTGGCTGAAGGTATTGTCTAAACACCTGGGATGGCGACAGGGAGCTGCTGAAACTTAGAGGTAAATCTCAGTGATAGAGTTTAAGCCCTGCTGTTCTTTGGCATGTCTGTACTGTCTTTTTTTTTTAAAAAAAGTAATTTCTTTCAAAGGAAGAGAGATTAAGTGGCATCTCTTCTATCATCTCTTACTTCTTTATTGACTTTTAACTGTGAGAATAGTAATTTTGAATTTAGTTCCTGGCACTTGGATTTCCTTCCCTTCCTCACTGGAGGAGATTTGAAGCCGTCATGTATTCAGCCTGTATACTGCAGTGCGTTCTAGAGGAGATGGGAGATACCATCAGTACCTTCAAATTTGGAAATCCAGAAGGCATCATTGTATAGACATCTATTTTATTAGACAAGATAGAGCTGGCAATGCAAGATTTGTAAGACTAAATGGAAAGTAAGAAAGAAGCCTAGGAACTCACTTGAGGGGGGCTGACTTTGCCACCCACTAATTTGGGCAAGTTGGAAACCTCAAAGATGGTTCTAACTGCCTAGCTGAGTTCAGGTTTTGTTCAGGGATTAGCTGTGTGAAATGCATTAGCAATCCTATGAATGCAGGTGGGAACTGAGGCTTCAAGGGTCCTGGTCTCTAGGCATGAGTATCTCGCTCATTCCTGTGCCTCACATTTTGGCCCCACAAAGCTTTTGGGGCTTCTTGCACTGTACTGTGGCTTCCAGGTACATGGCAGTCGGACCTCACTTTGCCTCTTCAGCATGTGCTAACCATCAGGCTGAGAGATGAGTCCTTTTCCAGGTGACCATGTTTTAAAGGAAATTAGTTCTTTTCAGATAGGTCCCTGCTTTCCTCCAAATGAAGTGGAGATGCAGGATTTCAGGTAAGTGCAATAGGGGATGGAAGCCAGGATTTTTTCAGGAAGGCATCACTCCTGCCAGGCATTTCTGCTGAGTGGCTCTGTGCGGCTGCTTTCCTGTTGTGTGGATGACCTGAGACAGCCCATAGAAGTGACTGACTTTCTCTGCTCACAGTGCAGAGGATGTAGGTCCCTATCTGACCCTCTCAGTGGGAGTCTGCAGCTCTTCTGGTGCCTCTCTGGTCCTTAACCCCTCTTTCTTACCATATGACAGGAGTTCTTTTAACTAAAGTAGGTCTTTAAGGAAAAAGAAAAATTCAAAAAGCTTTTTATAGTGATTTTTTTTGAGTTGCTTTTGTTAGTACAGTAATTAATACATGTGATTTATATTACACAGGAGGCCAGACTGTATGACTGCAGTAATTCTTTCCAGCTTTATTCTGTATGAGAGGCTGATTCCACTAACAAAAAACTTCACTTTATTAGTGCTAATGTCAAGGTGAGCCTGGGTATTGGTAGAAAGAGTCTCAAACATAATTTAAAGGGTACAAAGAAATGGCCCTTTCAAGAGCATTACTAACCTTTGTAATTCATCTTAGGTCAGCATTGGTGGTACTTGATTCTGGAAGGCTGGCTTTTCTAATCAACTTTCTCAGAGGAATTCATTATCTGAAAACCTGTGACTAATGAAAGATGTTTTGTTCATTTGAAGTTCAAGCTAATTTCCATGAAGGTTACTATTACTAAGCAACAGATTCTGTGGAGTGTCTCCTGAGGGGCCGAAACTACAGTATGTACAAAAGTAAAGCAAAACACAGTGAGAAGATGATGAAATATCCCCAGACAGACCACAGATAGTACCATGTACAGGACCTGTTGTGGAGTCTCCTGCCTTGAAAGCTGTTTGAACAATGGAAAAACTGCTGAAGCTAAAGATCAGCATCAACCGTATCACCATCTACTGTGAATGTAAAGCAAGATTTGTTCTCTGCTCAAATGTAGAGATGCACCACAGAATGACCAAGGGAGTCCCAAATATAATTCAGCACACTCAATTCTGAGAAAAGCAATCACCTGTGATATATGGTAGCCATACTAAAAGAAGAATGGTTATTTTAGCTGTGAGGACAGACTGAATTGAACAATAGGAGTGCTTTCTTAAGTCAGAAAAGATGATGTCATCTTTTTTTTCTGTACAGCTGTCTGTCAGAGTAGAAATATATATTTGCAGCTTGTTTAAGTAAAAAAACACACCTGGATAGTCAGCTTTTCAAGGATCAAGGTTTTACTCTGTCCTCTTACTTTGGCTTTATCCACTGGCTTTGCTAAATACAAGGTACAAATGGTAGAGGGTAAAGTAAAAAAAAAAAACCCAAACCCCACAGTTATTCTCAACAATCTTTTGAATGTTTGTGTAAGTTCCCTTCGTCTTGTCCTTTTTGTGTTCGGTTTGGGTAACTGTTCAAGTGATGCAGTTTTCCAGCATAAAATCTGCATGAAGTGAATGTCAGTGTTCAACTGAGTTTATAAACTTTACAGTAATAAAAATATCGATATCATACAACTTAACTCACTAATCATGGTATGTGTAGGATATGTACAATCTGGAAATAAGTAAAATGTTTTGAATATTTGAGTTAAATACATCTGCTCATGAATGTCAGAGTGACAGAGGTGAGGATAGAATGTCTCAAATCATTATTAGCATAGAAACCTCCCTACCCTTCCAAATATTTTTTTTTATGTGCTCTGATCATTCCAATCCCACGGTCTTTTTAGGGGTTTGTTTGTTTTTGAAATATAAATATCTTCTGACACTGCAAAGGAGAGATGTATTACGTTCCAAATTTTTATAAAGTGAGAAATGAAGCACAAGAGATGTTAATTTAAAAAACCAACCAAACAAAACCAAAAAAACCCCAAACCACCAGTATCTCTGTTCAGATGCTTCTCTGTTCCTGGAGATACTGAGGGTCATCAGGTGTCCATGATACCAATTTACATGAGGTCTGGTTTTGGGCATGTCCAGAAGCAGCTGTGTCCTCACCTTGCTATATGGTAGGTGTCTTAGGTACACCAAAGCCTTGTCAGTGTCCAGGCGTTTCATTTTGTGTGCAGAGCTAATACAGTAACGTCACGCCCACCCATTTCCTCAAGAACCCTGGACTTCAATAAAACACATGCATTCATTAAAAAAAAAGGACTTGAATTCTGGTCTCTCCTTTTCTAGAGAAAGCCTCTATAGCCATCGCACCTGGTAGCAATAGCTCATTTTGGATTAATGAGTATCTTAATGCTATGTAGTGATTATTTTAGCACTGTCCAGTACTGACTGAGGAATACCCTGCAGCTTGTGGTTGGGAGGTTGTTCTGGGAGATGCCCTGTCATGTGAGAATCATGACGTCACCATGGAGCACTATCTCAATACTCAAACAGTTAAATAATTTGGAAATAGAGCTGGACTGACCTGGAATTGCAGATAATGATTATGTTCAACTTCAGGCCTATACTTGGTTCAGACCTGAAGTGACTCACCTTTTCCAGCATATACTATATATTGAATATAAATTTTGTGTGATGGATTTTTTTCTAGGTGACTGAATCTGAATGTTAAACCTTATCTAATTTAAAGGGATCTAGCTTTTAGAGAGGCCAAATTGATGTTTTTTTTAGAATCAGCTTCTCCATGACTTCCCAGCCAGCATAAATGAAGTAAAAATAGCAGGGGGAAAAAATGCCTATGGAACTGAACCCTTTGTATTTCTCCCATCCAGAGCTGTGTAGGAACTTTGCAGCTTAGTTTAAAAATCACCAATGTCTCTGTTGGGTCTTCTTATGTTGCGTATATCAAGTGACTGGATATCTTTTAAACATGAATGTGCTGTTAGAAATAGGTTCTCTTCTTTAATTATATCCTCATTTTACCTTGCAAGCTCTAAATCATTCAAGCAGGGGTTTGGAATAAATAAGTTGTGGGAAATCTGATTAATTGATTACAGAAAGTATTGTTTTCAGTCTTGCAGCAATTAAAATTTTACAGTGTTGTCATAGGTCAATTACATATCTGGATTGATGCTTTTATTTCAGGGATTTGAATCATAAATCTCCAGAAAATCACTGGGTTTTAAAATTTTGATATTAGCACTATTTTCAAATTTTGAGTTGGATTGACATAGATCAATTATTGTTTGTACTGGCTTAAGTACATTTTGTTACATCCCAAACTATAAGGCACAAAGATAAGTTGAACAGAGAGAGATGTGGTTACTGTGGGACAAGGTGTATAAATATATATTGTCTGTAAATTGGGAAAGTAGGATTCCTTACTTCTGCTACTGATGGAGCAATTCATATTATTCTCAAGATTAATTTGGCATGGAAAATTTCAGGTTATGTGTCTGCAGTAAGACTCAGCAGGCAGAGGTCCACAATTGGATGCAACAAAGTGAAGATGCCGGAAAAATCTAGAGAAAAATCTGAGCTGCAAAATTCAAATCCTATATGTGAAACTCTTGGATTGAGGTGGATTGGAATTGTTGAGGAGTAGAGCTTGTCAAAGCCCAGATTTCCTCTCTGTGGGAAATACAGTTTGAGAATGTTTTAATTTTGATTCAGAAGACAAGTTAGAGTTTCAAAATTCTCTCTGCAAACAAAGAAACAATTCCTGTAGAAAAGCGGAAGCTTTCTGTTTTGATACTTCAACAAAAAGCTGCTGAGTATCTCTATTCCAGAGGCTCCTGGACTATCTGGGATCCCAGGCAACCTCCATAGAGTCAGAGCTGGGTGTGGATATGTCGCATTGTGAGAAAGAGCATCAGGAGGCTTAAACTCTTAAACTGCCAACTCCCTAAATGCTTTTAGTGTCTCTGCTGGAAAGCCCTAGTCAAGCAATCAAATCCCAGGGAAACTGGGGCCCCAGAGACAGAAAGCCTTTTCCCTGTGTGATATCAGGGAAGCCGAAGACCCAACATCCTTAGCCTCACAGTGCCTTGCATCAGGGCCACCGAAAGCTGCAGAGCTGGGACACATTAGGTTGCCTAGTCCTGGTGATGGTGAGGGAGCTGTGGAGCTGCAGGCTTCGAGACCACATCTGCACTGCTAAATGGGCCAGGGCATAGTTGAGACAACAGAGTTGAACACAGTTAAATATTTAACATGCTTAATTCTTCACGGGCCAGTGAGCTTCCTTGCAGTTAGTACAGGACAGGGTCCATGCCGTTTAACAATTTAGGTATAGAAATTATATTTTAAAGGAGACCTTAACTGGCTGGTGCTGAGCCACCCCATTTGATGCGAGAGATAAATTCCCTAGCTTGTTTAATTTATTTCAATCTTGATGTAAACCTTGCGAATTAGGAATTCCTACTAATTCCCACCAACTAAGGCAAGTTCTCACCTGCCAGGCCTTGAAATGAAGTATTCCAAT